AACTGTGTAACATTAAGATGTGCTGAAGTGCTCTCAGCCTTTGCTGCTTCTTTATCATTATAAGATCGTACCTGACAGTTCAAATAGACAGTTGGGGCCCATAAGTTATATTTTATCGCACTGATGCTGGGTAACTTTTTGGAAATTACACTCTCCTGTCAAAGAAATAAAATATTATACTGTTCTATGACATAAATCTAATATAATTGAATGTTTTTTTTTTCAGGTATTCACATAAGTTATACAGCCAGACTAAACTTGTAAGAAAAGGACACTATAATTCAGTCTTCACCATTCCAAGCTGTTTCAATATTGTACAAACAAAATTGTAAAGTGAATGTTTCATGGATTTGAAAACTGTACTAACAGAGTTTCTTTCAAACACAGTATTGAAATAACCAGGAACAATTTCAAAATGTGATGATTTAACTATTCTTTAAGGATTGTATTAAGCAGGCATGTTTCACACTAGTCTTTTCTCTTTTCCATTTTATATGGCTGCGTGGCACTTCAAGATATTTCAAAAATTTCTAAAACTGCAGTTACAGGGGCCCACTTTTGGAAACATAATCCTATCAAAACTTTAAAAATTTCTACTTGAGACCCATAGTACAATTATTCAGAAGTTACTGTGATGTACATGGGAAACAAAAGGAGAAAAGGTACATGTACTCCTATGTATGACATAATCTACAGCTAAAGAAAGCAAGAATCAAAGGGAATCAAAATGTGCTTTCAGTGTCCATAAAGATGAAACGTCTCAATTTACAGGAGTTTCCTGTCTGATTATAACAACTCGCACAAAATTAAATACATAAATATTAATTTTATGTATCGCATAAGATGAAGGCAATGAAAAAAACAATGTTTACATTTATGGTTGACTCATTAGTGTTTTATTATGTGGAACACTAGGAGGCATCAGTTGGGTAAAAAAAAAGAGTTTTTTTGAAAAATGGCAAGAAATTAGCATAGAAGTAATCAGCTTGGAATTTTCATACACCCAAACGTTAAAGGCTGAGTATTACAATTAAGTTATGCAAATGGCCTGAACCCTTTCTGACGGATAAAGGAAAAATTTAATCATAAAGGAACAGCATTTCAATCCATAACTGTTTTCAAAATAGACTTCTATTTTACACATGCATCACAAAGTATAGTTCTACTTTACATTATGTATTTAAAAACATCTAAATAGACAGAAAGTAAGATGACTTACTTGTTTGTTCCTCAGTATTATACTTTCTGATAAATCCGCACAGTACTCTCCTTTGCACATCAGCTCTTAACAGGGCAAGTGCTATGAATTTAGTATCATCCCAGACACTTTTAAGAAATTTTAGTTGATACTTCGAGATATCATGTAGGCAAAAATGTTTTTGAACATTCAAATGCAATCATATCTTATGTTTTAATTATATTTCCCAAGGGAGGTGAGTGAACAGTGTCTTAAAAATTTTGTACAACAATGCTACAAGTGGCTCCACATTGTAGTATCAAGTAATACAAAACCACTAAGGTCAAAACTGAATTTTCCTTCAAATTGCATTTAACAATGACTAAGCAACAGAGTTATAGTTGTCTTATAGAATAATCAATTGAAATTGAAGTGTGTCTTGCCATGCTGCAGCAATCAGCTTTTATCTCTGTCCAATCAAAATGACATGTGAACTGCCTAATCCTTCCTTTGTAAGGAACATAAGACTTTGTTGTCACTGTTGGTTTTGTGAATCGCCTCTATAAGCTGGTCTGATTTCCTAAAGATGACAGATCCTGGTGAATAGACAAGCTCTACTGCACTGCAGTAAATGAGAGAGTGAGATTAAGGTGGAGGACTTAAGACACCAGCTTTTAATCACCTGTCCACATGTAACATTGAGTGCCAGTTCTGAGAAAATTACCTTAAAGCTGGCCCCAGGGCCCAATCAATTCAGATGTTTTAAAAAAGTAGAAAATTTGGAATTTTTTTTTCTTTCTCAGCAGTTATCTAGCACTGTTAGTAGTTCTTACTGACCAGAGCTGTTTTTCTGAGTCCATTCTTCTTCTGAAGTAAGGTTAGAAATTGTATTTTCAGCCCTTTCAAATACCAGAATGCTATCCTTACTCTTAAGGCAAAAGTCTTCTACATATTTCACATGTAATAATTTGCACATTATATGAATATGTTGTTACAGAGCCTAAACATGAACACAGAAAAATCTTCTTAATATCACACAGCAAGATATAAAAAGCTTAAAATACACCACAAATATAACTACTACTTTAGTTATTTTTCAAAATGCTGAAGCAGAGACCATAAACTTCTTAAAACTACATGGCATTTACACAATCTTTAGAATTAAATCTTTATAACCTATGTTATCAAAAGAAGACACTACATATCATTTAATTTATGGATAAGGTGTACAACTTAGAATAATAACATCCAACAGGTAGAAAAGGAACTTAAATATTGAGAAACAAATGCTTTTTCTTTCCAGCACCTAATACCAGCTCACGACTTCTTGCTAAATGGAATACAGAAATACTACTTAGCTGTCTCTTAAGATGAACTATTTTGCTGAAAAAGAAGTTAAGCTGTTATAGAGAAAAGTAAAATTAAAATAAATGAAGATGGCAAAAGTATTTAGCTCACAACTGCTGCTCAGTTCTTGAGGTATCTAGCATCATAGTTATCACGATTTATCTACTAAATTGTGAGTTATCAAAAACTTTCAGAGGTAAACTTTTGGAAAAAGCTGAAGAAAGCTCAGTTTTCTTTGTATACAGTGCTTTAGATGTCTTAAAAAGCACAACTATTTAAGATAAGTGTCTGTTTCTTCGTTTTAAACATACATGTTGCAAGTACACAAAGAGAGTTTATTAAAAAAACCCCAAATTTAAAGAAAATTCACACAAGGTAGGTATTCATATAATTTTTCTTCTTAAATCCCCAAATTAGCATCTAAAGAACACAATTCCAAAATATTTAATCTCACACACAATATGCATCATTTAGTAGCAATTTCTACAAGACTCTTAAGACTAAGATTCCTTTTTTCTTGTTAATCAATCTGAAGAAGAAACAAACATGTCTGATTCCTGGATTACAGGACATCTAAAGGGACACTCTTTTACCCTCTTTCCTAAGAGCTGTGGAACAGGCAAGAGTGTGAGATTTTCTAGGGGCCTGATCCTGCAAATGATTATTTATGAGACTTCTTCATTTACACACAAGTTGTCTCAGCAGTGTCAGTGGGACTTCCTAAGAACTTTTTGCAGGAATTAAGGTTTTCACATTCATATCCCTAACTTACCTTCTAATACAAGCTATGTAAGGCGTAGCAATAAAAATATTTATAAGCAGCAAGTTTTTTAAGATAAAAGGATGTGTATTATAACAACAACATAGACATCCTGAATTAAGGGACATTCTCTTAACTTTATCCTGAAAGAAATTTTCTATTACTTCCCAAGGGACTTATGTGTTAGCACACACTTCAGTATTAGACCCAATATGAATTATGTATCCATTAATATAACATTTATTTTAGTGATAAACTCAGAAACATTGGCTTTTTTTTTTTTTTTTTTTTTTTTTTTAGACTTGGTATTAGATTCCTAAAATCATGTCACAAAAATAATTTACAGGATAATAGATCCTCAAAGTGCCTAATTACCTGAGTGTTTGAACTGGAAATCAGTATATAATACATAAGTTATACTGATTCACAGGTGGTTTTATTTCTATACTCTGCCAATCCCTCTAGGGATTAGAATTATTATACTTCATATCAACAACTTTAATTTTCAACCACAATAACCTGGAAAGTGCTAGTAAAAAGTAACCTACTCACATTTGAATTGGCTTATCATCCATCCTTTAAAGTAAAGATATGAAACTAGGACATTTGCCATTAAGCTGATCATCAGATATGTGCTAAGAAAATGCATTCTCTGTCAAGACAATTCCTTTCTGATCACAAGTCAAATACTGACAAACTGCCTTTCTCTGCTTAATTCTCTCTAGTCTTTTGTCTTAGGTTGTAATACATATTTGATTTTAGGATTCAGGTACTTGCTGATAATAATAATTCAATAAACAATAAATAAAATAACTCTTCTATAAAAGTCAGTGCTTAGGTTCCCACAATAATTCATTAAGTTTTGTTTGGAATTGTACAGTTAAAAATATTTTTGAGAAAAGGAATTACTGGTTAATCTTTATGCCTTTCTTTTTCAGGCTGACAGAGGTCACAATAAGTTTTATGGAAAATGCTAAGTATTACAGTTACATAAAGCACCAATAGTCTTATAGTCTCCCACTTACATTAAACTTTATCTCAGCCTGTAAAAAACTGTAGAGCAACTAGTACAGGCAGTTATGTAGCTCCCTTGTATGAAAAGATATAAGGATGACTTAAAGCACTGTGTGAAGACCAAAGCATACTATTCACAGAGAGGCACACTGCCTATGACTTTAATTCCCACAGGGATGCAAGGGGTCTTTCCATCTAAAACTTAAGTATTCAAAAGAAAGATACACAAAGTTAAACAGTTGCAGGCATGCATTACCTAAACTTAAAAAACCGTAAGAGCTTATAATACAATGAAGTTTAAGAGCGAGTCAAACTGAATTCTTTCCTCAGGCTAAAAAATCAGGGTGTAAGCACTACAAGGTCACAGCATTTGTTAAACTGTTAAAACTAAATAAGCTTCAAAATCTTCACAGTATTAACCATACAGAAGGCATAAACTAACTTCAGCAAAGTTTAAACACAACGCGGACAGAGGCAATTCAGAAGTAATTTGAATAGCCAGTGATTTAAGTACATTACTTGCCTTGAAAGTTACTTACAAGCAATTGACAGAACAACCATACTCTTAAAAGTCTGGAGGCAACCTCAGTCCCTCACCACATTCACTGACTGACACATTCTGCTAATGCAATAGAAAATGCACATAGGGCTTCTCCTTGCCCACTATATTTTATTCAGATGCTGAATTTCACATGTACTTACATTATAAACATATAGTTGTTTGGATGATCAGACTAGTCCTTGAGATATTTTCCTTTCACAGGAAAAAGAAAAATCCCTTTACTTCTTCCAGCCTTAAATATTCACCACCCGGTTCAACATGCAGCCTTCTTGAATCACACACACAACCTTCAAAGTCAATCCAATAAGCAGCCAGAAGACGTCTGGTGTGTGTGTGTGTGTGTGCGCGTGTGTCTGCGTGTGAGCAGCGTGGAGGAGGAGAAAGTGGCTGAGCTGCTGGTCGGATTAAAAGTAACCGGACTCGTCCTGAGAGCGTCCAGGAAGGAAGTGACAGCAGGCGAATGGGAAAAGCCGAGCAGCTCACAGCCTTTGTAACATCGCGGAGGGGAAGGGGGGAGGCAAGGAAGGGATTCAAACTACACGCCTGACGAGGTGTCCTTGTCTGCTTCTCTCCCTCTTCCTCCCTTTTCTTCTCCGTGCCTCTATTTCTCTCTCTCTCTCACGATCCCAAACGAATGACTCTCTCCTCCCGAGCTGGAGAAATAATCAGTTTCACTCTTGCAAAAAGGGGGCGGGATCAGATCCCGAAAGCGTTTTAATAAAACAAACATAGAGCAGCAGCAGCGGCAGCAGCTCCTTTCCTTGCCCCTCTAGTCTAAACTAGATTGATAAATTACTCCACTACACTACTTTAATTATGTATATGGTATGCAGAATAAATCACTGAACATCAGCACCTCAATCAAGCACTTTTTAAATGATAATTGCATCTTGGGTGAATCAATCTTTCCATTCCTGACATTTTGCTAATTTTAGTTTTACGGTGGGGGTAATGGCATATGCCGCACGCAAACCTAATGACAATCCTTTATTATACCGAACGGAGGCAACACGGCGAGCCGGTGCGTATTTTCCCCCTTCTGGCGGGGTGCAGTAGCTTGCGGACGCAGCTCCCGCAAGGACCGCGAGACAAACACAGCCCGGGTCAGCTCAGACGCTGCGCGCCGAGTTTGCGGCTAGCGAGATAGGAAAGGGCCGCCCGGTACCCGGCGGCGGCAGCAGGGAGCGCGGCAGCCCGCGTGCGGGAGCCGCGGGGCGGAGGCGCGTTGGGATGAGCGCGGTGACATGGCACCCCCCGCTACCCCGCGGCGGGGAGGGACGGGCGGGCCGGCGGCCGGATGGCGCACGGGAGGGCGGCGAGCCCCTCGCAGGGCCGGCACCGAGGGGCCGGCAACGCAGCGCCGGGCCAGCCGGCTCCTGCTCCGCCTGGGGACACCGTCGCAGCGGCGGCGGACCGCGGGCGCTGGGGGTCTTCAGCCCCCGCGGCGTTTCCTGCCCCTTCTCCTCGCACCTTTGCCGGGCTCCGTCTCCGCAGGCCCCTGTCTGCAAAGCCGCCCAACTTTCCAAACTCATTAGGCTTTGCGTCCAGTTGGTGGTGACTTCACCGCGGAGCAGAAGCGGACCTGGTGGCAAAGTTTGGGGCAGCACCGCCTTCAGCAAACGGGAACGCTGGTCAGATAAAACCCCGTTTGCCTAATTGCACTGGCCAAATTAGGTTCAAATCTCAGCCGAGATAGGCTCTTGTCACTCTTATCCACAGCAAAGCAGTATTCCCAACACAATGTGTAAAAAGACGGGGTGTTTTTTATAGGTTCAGTTGCTTTTAAGCCAGACTGAAAGGTCTGTACTGCATGTGCGCTTGAATCCCAGTTATGCATACGCAATAATTTGTGAGTAAAACTGGACTTTGAAGATACTTGATTATATTTTCCTGTCGATAGCCAACTTCTACAACCCTTTGAGTAGCAGGGGAGCTTATTAAGGCAGAGACCATTATTTTTATGTCAGATTAGGATACTGGAAATAGGAACAGCATGCATGATAAAACCAAAACACCAAATTCAAACAACAGTGATAAATATATATATGGCTTATTCTAATACATGTTTTGGTCTTGCAGACTTTTCCCCTACAAACATCTCATTGGGCTACTGACCTACTTTGGAAGTTCCACATTTGACAGTGAATAAATGTCTTCTAAATTCTACTGTACTTCTTAAACCACGGGTGTTCAAAGCATGGTCAGAGCAAAACAAAGCTCCAGCAATTGCTCTCAGCTCAGATCCCTACTGAGTAAGTACCCTTTACTGACTACAAGTCTCCACTGTCCCTACTCTCTGTCTTGATGAGATTTAGATACAGAGAATGAACATCTCTTAACTGACAGGCAGTTAAAAGTTATAAAATGCACCCTCAATGACAGTCATACAGATGTGCCTAGAACCATCAGGTAGCCAGACATGAGCCAAGTGTGTTCTTTGTAGTGACAGGCGCATTAGTTTGGCAGTGTCAGCAGTGGAGTCCAGGTAATACTGGGGAGGATAAACTTTCTCAGCCACAAGTTTAGCATGAAGTGTGCAGCAGGAAGAGAAAAAAAGCATGGAATAGTTACATGGACTGACCACTTGTTATGACACTTCTGCAGACCATTTCAGTCTCCCACCACGGCATCCAGCTTTCCAGTAGAGCTCATATTTTGTTAGTGGCAAAACTATAAAAGCATGCTAAGGCTTCATGCTTTTGTGCTAATTGAAATGACTGTCATCTGCTTTACTGTGTGCAGGATACATACATTGCCAATTTTCTGGCTAGCTGATAACAAAGCTCTTCAATTGGTAAGACAGAACTTGAGTACTATCATGTCCTAAAAGTAATTATCAGAATAGGCAAGTATTTCAGAAAGTAAAATACACAGCAGCTTAGTACATTTACTACACCTCCATGTGGGCACTGGTGGCCTAATCTTTAAATAGTTGTGACCTTCATATACTTAAGTACCTTAAAGCTGTGCCAAGTTTTTGTCATGAGCACAATTCATCAAAACCATGTAAAGGACACCTCGATTTTTAAATCAGGGTTCAGATGCTAGATGGACAAACAGATATGAGGAAATGGATCATGCTTTCTCACTCATATCAGGGTTAGATAAGGAATGAATTTGTGCAGTACCTTTTGAAGTGTCTAGGATTATTATTGTTTTTTTTTTTTTTTTTTTTCCTCCCTGTTTTGCTGCATTTAATTTTAAAAGCTGGAATAATTTCAAACAGTAAAAACCTTTGTTCTGGTGTCTGTACTTGTACTGATGCTTCCCAAATGCATCCTTTCCAAATTTCTGACAAAAAACTCAAATCTATGCTTTTTTCCCCCCCCCTTTTCTTTCTATTTTTT